TAAATATTGAATTCTGTTCCCTAAAAAAAATAGAGAAAAGTAGCCCAGAGTTGCTAGAGAAGGGGCAGTAGTTTCAAAGGTTTTATGCTGTCAAGGTACTAAAGGGTTTACAGTGTATGTATTGCTGGTCATGAGTTATAATTGTCGCTTCATGTATTAACAGATTGAGTTCAGATCTGCTGTGGTCCCTTTCATCCTTCAAGAAAATAATCTTTTGGTCAGAAAGTAACCGTAGAGTATGCTCAATAACATCAGCTAAAGATCTAGGACTTACATGATCTTTTAGTATTCATCCCATAGGTCCTACATGTACTGTGAATATGATGTATTGTTTATATGACTATACATATGGTTTCAATGCACAAATTTGTAAAGAGAATAGGCCTCTAGGTACAGGGTATATAATGCTCTCCTGATCAAAAGGCTGACATCCAAGGTTGGGGTTAGTCTCTTTTGACTAGTAGAGCATTTAGAGGGCACTCTAAATACTGAATATAGTTAATTTCATGATATACCTGGTAATTAGAAACTTGCTGCACTAATTGGGTCTATTTCTGTTACAATTTGATTTTTAGATGTCAGTCTTGCATACTGTCTTGATTATTGAATTACCAGTGTTATAAAGTGCAATTACAAAAGAGATGTACTGACTGAATAGCTTTATAACAAGTTATGATTTCAAATGTGAACAAATTACACCATTTTATTTGCTTTGTGGTGTGCTGTGTTGGCTAAGAAAAAAAACATGGTTCTCACTTGTCACAGGTGGTGTGTGGGTCAGACAAGGAACATTATTCAAGTCATTCGGAAAGGATGAAAACTAAGATCCAGTGTACAAAGTGGTATTGTGCATAAAAGTTGTCTTTTGAACATGTACATGTAATCTAAATATTAATTTAAAATTATTGTATGTTATATTAGTCCTATAAGGTGTTATATCCCTTATACAAAAGAACTGAAAACATCTGTTACCTATTGTTTGTTAAGTCAACAAATGAGAAGTGGTATCCAGTGTTCTGGAAATGGTAACCATATCCTGCCTTGTTCACAAAACCCAGCATTTCTTAGCTAAATAAACCAAAGTTGTGGATCTAGCTTTCAGAAACCAGTTCACCTTGGAAGAAAATGCATTGAAAACTCTTCAGTTTTATGTCATTTTGACTTCAACTTTGGAAAAAAAAATACAAATGTGTAACTTTATATGTGAGTCAAGAGACCTTTATTTCTTATTTTGTGTTCATTGAGTTAAATGTTACAGTTTGATGGTCAGGGAGTAGACAAAGTTACATGGATGAGTTAATTTAGGTCTTCAAGCTATACAGAGTTACATTGGATCATATTGTTACAGTTAAGTATTTATTGTCTACATTCAGAACAGTTTTATCTGCAGTATCATCAAATATCCTCTTGACATATGTCACAAGTATATCAACATTTTTATACATCAGTCATAAATAAAACATCTTTATGGTAGCCTTGACAATGTAGGTAATTTCTTTGAAAGAAAATGAATAGACTTTATAATTGACATATAAATTTTTTTCAACTCCTGTTTTTTTTAAAACATCTGCAATGTTTTTTGTGAAATAGGAGAACATGGCTTTGTTGCATTCATTTGCTTCCTCTCCACCTCCTCTTCTCCAAAATAAAAAATTTGTGGGATCTTATTTTGAATCTTTTTATTGAGAAATAATACCAAATAAAGGGTTCCTAACAACTTTTTTTGTGAATAATACAGGAAATTTGCTCTGCTTCCCAAATCTACTGGTTGAGATAGGATATATATATTTTTTACGCTTACATATGCTTATCAGGAACCACCTTGCCCATAATTTCTGGTTTGGACAAAAAGAAGTTTAATGAGCATCTACTTGTATTGGGTTTCTTCTTACCAATCTTATAGATAAAACCAACTATAGCCCAATAAGTACTACCTATATGTATATTACTACTGTAGGTATCGAGAGACAATGTTGTTTTGACAAGTCGGTAACACAAAACTTACATAGACTACCAACTGATAATTAAAAATAAATATGTCTACCCTAAATATTTGGATGTCTGTACTATTTGCTTTTCTTCTTATTATTATACTAAACATAGTGAACTGTCAATGGAATAAACTATCCCTGGTTGAAATATTCACTGAAACTGAAGGGTAATTATGGAATCCTTTTGTCTATGCCCAATTTGCAAGGGATTGGAAATACATCAAATAGACTTTAAAGAAACAATGGAAGTAATTGTATTAGTTAGTCTTAGATATAGGTATCTATAAAATTTGATTAAAATACAGATCTGTATTTCGTTTCGTTTTTTTTTTATACTTTCGATGGCCTCTACTACATGAAGATCTCACTGGTTGTAGTGGAAGGTCGCTTCAGTGGTATTACGAGTGACTTTATGATGTCATACATTTGATTAACCGATCAGCGTTGATGTTTCTAGTGGGTTACCCACAGTTCTGTGCACCTCACGCCGAAAACTGGCTATAACAGACCGTTTCATTGGCTAATCCCTCACATCATCCAGAACGCAGGTTATATAATAACTCATCTAGTGTGGTACTATAGTAGTGTATTGATAGTATAATGTAAATAGGTGACATTTCTACTCTTCTTACTCTATGTAAATTATGATATATCTATGAATGAATAGAGGTATTTGCATTGATGTTTCTAGTGGGTTACCCACAGTTCTGTGCACCTCACGCCAAAAACTAGCTCTAACAGACTGTTACATTGGCTAACCTCTCACATCATCCAGAACGCGGGTTATATAACAACTCATCTAGATCCTAGTGTAGTAAAGACAAGTAAAAAGAAATTTTGAACTATAAAAAACAAAATAAAGTAGGATCTGTGTTTTAGTGAGATTGGTATCTATAGGTATTTTATAAGTTTGTTAAGGTGTAGGTGGATCTGTATGTAATTAGTGTGGTACTATAGTAGTGTATTGATAGTATAATGTGACCCACTATGTCAAGTACTAGCTGTATCTACACTTCATACTCTCTGTAAATTATCATATTTCTATGAATGAATAGAAGTATTTATGTTATTGTACATGTTTATAGTCATTTGAATATAAACACAGAGCATGTACTTGGAGAAGAAAAACACTTCAGAATCTCTAGAAAAAAAGAATCAAAGTTTTTTTTTTACATAAGATATGTTATTTTTACAGGTACCTGTTTATCCTAACTGCTTGCAATAAATATAAAACAGGAGAGCTGAAAATCATTCCCCCAAATCTGAAGAAAAAAATTCTAGGACATAGATCTCTATGAAAAGTTTACCTTAGACTGTGGTTTTCCAACATAGGCTATTCAAGGAGAATTCTTGCAGAATTGCAACTTCTCTTTTGTCTTGGATAGTTGATTGAGTTTTATGTTGTATGCTAAAACATTGGTCATTTTGTTTTTTTACCAGTTAGACATTAGGAGCGAGCAAGAAAAAGCTCTTCCAAAGTCTAGCTCAGGAGTAGGTGGGTAATATTTTTTTTCTTCAAGTGTTATACCAGCAAAACTGCCACAAAAAGTGTGTTTAATTGTTTGGGGAGTCAAGATGAGTTACACTTTTGCTCACTAACAAGGAGGTCCTGGGTTTGACCCTGCTGTAAGCAAAGGAAGTTCTTCAGCATTCTTCAGCATGGATTCCCGTTATGCTGGACGGAGGGCCAGCAAGAACAGTGCCTAGTTGTTCGAGAGGGAGCACAGTTGGACTTTGATGTAGTTTAGGTGGAAAGCTATAGTCACAACAAAATTTCCCTCAGCACACACAGTATGGTGTTTGACCGTCTTCTTTAGATTGGCTGGTGTAGAAAAATAGGATGTTAAACCCCATTTCATTTCTAGTCGTTTGGATAGTTCTTTTTAATCATAGTATTGTTAGACTTTCATTGACTAGCAATTTCAACAGAAATATTAGCTCATGAATGCAAGGGTTCAGTTTACCTGTATCCTTGCATTTGGAAGATGAGGTTACCATATAAAATAAATTAGTGTAGAGCAGAAGTGTTTTTTTGACAAGATGTCATCATAAGGGTTTTTTTTATTCACATTTCAGACTAGTTGTATACAGGTGTTAAGAATGAAATTTGTATTGGAGAGATTAGAATGTATAATATGACTGGAATGTATAGATGATAGAAAATATAAATATACAGCTTGTTTATATATTATTATATTGATCATATATACTAAAAAAAACTTCAGTTGTTCTTTAATGTCACAAAAGACATATTTTTATTTAATCTTTATTTTTCTACAAATAAAAGTTATTGAATTTTCATTGGTTATAGCTTGCCACGTCCATTACAGACTGTAGCATGTTGATATTTTATTTCATAGACACACATGCTACCATCATTGGATTTATATTTCCTTCCCAATTTGATCAAGTCAGCGAGTTGAGTCTTTGCGGTATATTATGTAATATTGTGTATATATTGCACATGCAAAATTTGTAGACATATTCTAGTATTAGTAGTATCGCTGATATTATACTAATCAGATTATTGTTACTTTTTGAATTGAACAATGACAAAGTATTTTATTTATTCAGGACTTAAGGATTTCATGGTTAAAATACTGAATATATTAGAATATCATAATAATGATTTTTATGATTCTCTGTAACAGATTATTATAATGATTTTTATTGGGTCTCAATATATAATAACTTGTTCTAATGATTAAGCTTACTATTCAATTTCTAGGTGTGGTACAAAAAACATTACAAAAATGAGTGATATTCATGAGAATTTTAGATCAATTTTGTAACATTTTGATTTGATTGAAAATGACAGATTTTGAAATTATCTGTGTAATACAGAATGAAGTTTTATATTGTAGTTATTCTGAAGTTTGGTATATAAGTTCAATATTGATTTTACGTGGAGGTTGGAGTTTTGTCATTTATTCTTATGGTCAAATATAGGTTAAAAAAAAAACCAGTTGGAATCTAATAATTTTGTTTTTCAACACAGGAATTTAATGACGCCAAATCATCAACAGTATCTCTTCCAATAATCAACCGTAACTCTTCAATTGAAATTCACTAGTGACATTATTAACTGTAAATATAAAGTGCGATTAACTTTGAATTCAAAGAAAGGAATTTTTTGTTAGTTATTATCATAACCAAAGACTCAAATGATTGGATGAATACATTTTAAATCGTAAAGAGTGTGGGTGGCAGAAGTGAGAAGAAGAAATGGAATTATCTGCCCTTGGATTATCTAATGGATTTCGTTGAATATGATGAGTAAGAATTTATGATTTTTATTTATTTATATTCATTTGTATTTATTGACATCATTTGAAATACAATAACAAATATTTTTCAACTTTATTCAAATAATGAAAGTGATATAACAGTGTAACATGAGTCATGAACATACTGCGAGCCATATGAATATAGCATTGTTTATTTATTTATTATGAACAAATATTTTTACTATAGAAACAATGTATGGGGCAAATGATCGACTACCACCCAGTTTATAAAACATGAAATGATAGACTTGGTTGTCAGGGTTTATACATTAAAGAGATGATGTTACAATTTATGGTATATAAATTCGGGAACAAGTTTGACGTGTTGGTACATATGTAAAATATTTATGACTTATTCACGGGTAAATTACTAATAATTATTTCAAGAATGTCATCTTTGATTTTTAACTTTTGAGATGTCAACCAGATTGTTCAAATATTCCATATGATGCAGGATGAATGGCTTATCACTAACTACAAATACATATAATTGCTGTGTCTAGGCCAGCTCTTTGTAATGCATTGTAATACTTGCACAGCATGATTCGTACTTAATGAATAAAGTAAGTGTATGGAGCATATATAGTTCACCTGATATTTTGAACTTTTGAATAAAAACACAGAAAAAGACAAATCTGTACCCAACGAACTTTCACCACCTGAAGATGTGTCTCACAATGTCTCGGACATTCTGTTATTTTTCAGGTTTACACAGTTATTTAATAATTTGGATTAAGATATTGATGAACATTTTTATTTTTTCACATTTTAAATCTATATCATATATTTTCGCTTATTTTTTAAAGAATAGATTCTCTTTGATACATTCCTAAAAATACATGTAATTACCCTTGAAATATGTGAAGTAAAGTCAGATATAACAGTAAATTATCAAGCAAATGTTATAATGGACCTTAAAACTATTAACAGTATGTTAGTTCAGGATGGAGGGCTATTTGTTTAAGGGTTGTCACGATATTTAAATGACCTTTGGCCTGTCTAAATCTTCTTTGTAGTTCTTTGTTATGGTTGATCCTTTAATTAGGGTTAGGTATTCACCTAGTCAGCATTAAAAGACATGACCAGTAGAGAGGACAGGATACTATCAAATTTCACATCCATAAAAATGAAAATACTTGAGATTATTTAATGTCAAGAGAAGATGTTTACATGTCTTTTTACAAATCATGTTATCTGTGACATGATACTAAATATAAGTAGGTTGTTATTCTCCCAGAGTAGGTCATTGAGCAAGAAAAACTACCATTAATTTATAAAAAGATAGCTATATGATCTTGAGTAAAAAAAATTTAAAACCATTTTAAAGATGCATTATGTAAGATTTTGATAAATAACTGGCAGTTTTTGCTATAGTTTCAAAAATAGATAATAAAGAATGAATATATTGAAAATTTCATTCAATTTACTTTATTCTAAGTGAACTTATGAGTGTTTGAAGATGTAGCATGGATTGTCTATTATCATGGCAACATTACTGACCAAATCAAACTCTGTGCTGATTACCCATTTTATTGTTAAACTTGTCATGTTACAGTCTGATGAAAACAAAATTTTACAACTAATCAATCTTGTAAATGTATTCAAATAAATAAACCCTTCATTGAAACATGTTGTGAGAATTTGAACACAATGTGAAAATAAGCCAGGCTGATCTCCTCATGGGGTTTTATTGTGAATCTCGAGAATCGCGTGTCTTTGATTGACGCTCCATATGAATTCTAGGTAGATATTAAAATAATAATTGGATGATACATTTCACAGACCAGTTGTTAGTTCAATTTAAATCTTCATTGAATATAATCCACTGATAGAACACCGAATATTCCGAGAAACAGTCATTAAAAACATATTTTTCCGATAAAATCTCGGAATACTGATGACACGTGACATCGCTGGAATTAGGTCAATGAATCAGCGAAGTTAGCTTTAGTTTTAAATACTGTTGAACGTTATGATTTTTTACTTTATACTACATGCTGACAGAAGCTTTGTATTATATGCTGTCAATATTATTAAAGGCTATGACATAAAAAAAAAATAAATAAAATGATTTTAAAGAAATTTCAATTGTGGTTGTCACGTGATCATTGTGTCATTTGTCTATCATCGTCGAATGAATAAAAACTAAAAGGTGACAGACAAAAACTAGGGTGCTATGATAAACGATTACTCAGAGACGTATATTAAATTTTGCCGACGTAAACCTGTCTTTCCTCTGCTGGAACTACCAAAGATATAATGATATTTCTTTTGCGTTTGATACATGTATCACCACCTCCGTTAAAGGACGAAAGATTCGTCTGCTTTGGTGCCATTTTGTGAAGATCATGCAGACATTAAGCAGCGATCTTCAAGACGGAAGAAACCATCATACCAAAGTTACTATAAATAGCACCACTTTTCGACAACCACGGTCAGCACGAGATTTTTGACATGAGTTATGAATGGAAAGATAAAGTTGCAGTTAATTTTGTTGACGTTTATGATTTTCCGTATCATTGTTTACCGGTCCCATGGACCGCCTGGAAGATAATTTACCGGTATACTTTAAAATTTACTGGTATAAAACCGAAAAATATCAGTTATCAGAAACTCTGTGTTAATAAATGTCTAAATAATAGTTTATATAACAGTTGAAGCCAAAATAAAAGTCTGCATTAGGCAGATTTAGCTCTTGCATAATGTATCTTTAAGGATTATTATTTATAACCGACCCCATTCCTCAAATACAACATCAGCATGTCTTTTTGACGTTTGTAAAATGGAGATATTAATGTCTCTGTGTGTTGTTGGCATTTCTCACGAAAAAAATTCAATATTTCCATGTTTAATCCACACTAATATGTACTCAAACTGAGTATATAACATTTAAAGATGACTGTGTGATGCGATGATATATTTGGACTTAAAGCATATTCAAACTTAATCGTAAGGATTGAATGTGTACATGAAAGGTGTTGCAGATGTCGAAAGTCTAAGCCAAAAACAAGATTATATAAAGTAATAAGAATAAATGCTTATGCCTGTACACCCAACCGTATTGAAATTAATTGATAAACCAAGAAGATTGTTGACATTTTTTTTTAATCCTTTTGAACTTAATGAAGACCTAGATTGTATGAAACACAATTTCCATACATCTTTATACATAGACTATATTGAGACATGTTATTCTCCTTCCTTTGAATACTGTTTTTCTGGATGAATTAATCAATTATCATCTTAAAAGAGCTACTGAATACATAGATCTAAAGTCATCCAGCCATCCACTCCATGTATTATTTATATTTTAAATAATTCAATAGTCAAAGTTTTTGGTAACAATTGAGAATAATGCATTGTCTTTGAATAACATTTCTCTGTGCAAATGTAGGGTGAGAAAATGTTAAATGCATAACAACTGGAGAACTCAACAGATATAGAATTATTTGTTTTAAATCATTATTGATATGATATATTATATATATATATCACTGATTCCGAATTTGGGGCACACGCCTCATAGGGCTGGGGGCAATTTGATTATACAAAGAGGGACAATTTTAAAATGATGTATTAAGAAGAGACCTTTTTGAACACATTAATATCGATAGCCATATTTGATATGAAGTATTTATATTTGACTGGCTTTATGCCAAAACTTATGATATGTTGAGGTTGGGCATGCCCTGCCCCCAACAGGTTGGAAACCGCTAATGTACAGGTATATGCACACCTGATAATTAGTGAATTAATTGTTGTCATATATTGATTATAGGTGAGCCGAAATAAAAATGTTACTTGAACTGGCTTCTTAATTAATAATGAATATACTTGGGACGCTACAAAGAATCGTTCTTTACACTCAAATCTGATTTGTAATACAATGCCAAGAGTAAGCATGGACTGATTGTGCACCACACACTTTGATATAAATTCAGCTGAATAGAATGTTAGTGTGGGTCTTGAATCACTTGACTGTTTTACTGATGTATTGTTATTATTATATATTTTCAGGTTAGAAAAAGAATACACAGCCTTGAAAAGTAAAGAAAATGAAGAACAGATAGAACTCAGGGTAATTATATTTTCTCAGTTCACCTTTTATAACTTTACTTTAGATAGATCTCAAGATCATATTAGGCAAATAGATGATGGCAAGTTGTTAGTAGGGGAATTTTCCCATAATTAAAGTATACTATTCAACATGATGTTTCAATTTACCCACTTTGAAATGGGTGAGACTTCGAATTCCTATCAATAGAAACAGGTAACACAAACCAATTACAGAAGGCTTGAAATCTGGGCGTATATTGCCATTATCCTTGTCAGGGAGAAATCCCCCCTTCTGATTTCACACATAATTGAAATGAAATTTACTATATGTTACATGTAGTCTCAAATTAACAGAAGAGTTGTATTGAGAAGTTAAACCATTCTATTGATCAGAGTTATCAGACAGTGGTTTCAATTTTACCCCTGCCCCCTTTTCAAAATTGTGGATCCTGCATCTAGTGTTGTAAGTCAGAGTAAAGAATGTACAGCTAACTTGAAACACTATATAAACAGTTATCCACAATTACAGATTTACTGGACCACATGAAAGACAGCATACTGAGCTATTTGTAAAGGCTGTCTTCTATATACTGTGGGTGAATCTTAAGTTCATAATGATCAGTAATAACCCAAAAGACAGTTCATCACAAGTACATATGAAATCTCCATTTTGGAATTGAAAGAAGAGTTTTAACTTGAATTTTTTTGTTGTTGTAGAGATTAAGAACAGAAAACAATCTTCTGAGACAGCGAATTGATAATTTAGAAAAAGAATCAGCATCACTGGCTGACCGTCTGATACAGGATCAAGTTAACAGAGCTCAGGAGGCAGAAGAAACATATGCCCTAAAAAACGAACTAGCCATGACCAAACAAAAATTGGCCGATATACTTAAAAAATATGAAGAAGCTGATGTTCTTATTTGTGAAGTTAAAGAAAGGGTAAGTAACTCTTGATTCATTGTTCACACAAGGGTACATGACTGAACCTTCTGGAATTCTCTTAATCCCACAGGCAATAAACACACAAGGTTATCAGAAAATAATAGATGCCTTTTTTGTTGGAGGAAGAGCATTTACTTACACAAATAAACACAGATCCAATTCCAGGTGATATCTAACTCTCATATTCTCACTTGAGCATAATTCATTGTAAAATGTGTCAAGAGAGCTTCAAAATACAGTATGAACTAAAAAAACTGTGGCAAAACTTACGTGATATTTTTGTGAAATTTTGACTAGAATCTAAGTTTAGGGGAGGTTTTCTGAATCCCTCTGTAATTTGTTAACGTAAATTAGTGTTATTACCTCATTATAAGATGAATAATCCTTCTGATTTTTAACGATTTGCTGTAATTTTCCTTTTTTAGACATGTTGTTATGAGAATGCTGTAAATTTATCAGATGATGCTGCAACAACTTTAATACAACAATTACAAGAAGAACTAATTGCTGTGAGATTACGTGAATCCGAGACTAATATTCTAATCAAAGAATTACGTGTTAAAATTAGTGATCTTGAAGATGTAAGTATTAATAAAGAATCTCCCATCACAGATTGAATCAGATTAAAAAGAGGCCCATCAAAAGATTTACACAGGACTTCTGGCTTGTTTATTATCATTTTTTCAAATTGTTGTATCTTTGTAAATATGTAATTCAAGATTTAGAGATTCTCACTATTTAGTTTGCAAGAATTTCAAAATTCTGTAAATGAAGATCAGCGGCTTTAATAGATACTTGCTTTTGTTGGAAGAATGTTTATTATAGCCGAGACCAGACTAATGCACATGCAATTTATATTATTATATTATTTCCCACTTATTGACTACTTGTAGTGGTTAATGCTATCAGTAGCTGAAACCTGGCTGTCTGCCCACAAATTCTAGGGAAGTTGTTAGTAATGTAAACTTCATAAATAAATGTGCAAAGTGGTTTATGTATGTTAAAAACATTACGTATGTATACTCTACTTTGAACACAACACCCATCACTATTTTAATACTTGAAATAACAGTTTGGATTAACAATAAGTCAAGGGAAATAATTAAAGCATTCTTGAATTTTTTTTTGCAGACAAATCTGATGTTACAGCGTGCACCTAGTAATGACGTCCAGCAATTACAAGAAGAACTGATAGCTGTTAAACTACGCGAAGCTGAGGCTAATCTTTCACTTAAAGAATTACGCCAAAGAGTAAATGAACTCGAATCATATTGGGAGGTATATTATAAAATAATTGTGTCTTTTATATTATTGAAGGATTTTGTCACAAGGTTTACCAAGTTATGCCCTGATTTATTGCATTTTATTTTATTAGGCAAGTTTATACAGTAGTTGTGCGATATGCTCAGTGATTAGACAATAGTTATTGTGTTTGCGGGTGGCTGAGTGGTACAATTTAGTTCACAAGGCTTTTGACCGAGTCACATGACATGGTTTTGATCCAAGGGTTGTCGATGATAAGGAGAAGGTCACCTGCCTAGTCATCAGAATTTTCTCCTGGGTCTCCCATTTTCATCCCACTGCTATGACCACTTTCTCTTTAAAGTCTTGTTAATCATAATGTAAGAACTCAATGGGGACAGTAACTCACTACCTAGTCTTTGTTATAGATTAACAAATGCATATTTATAATTTAAAGGGACCATCCCGATTTTAATAGAGTCTCAGAAATAAAAGTCTGTGTACATAAGAAATTTTAAAAAGCGCCAAAATATAGAGGAATGGTGTGTTTACCTTGTCTCAAAATTTCAGCTCAAAATATTGAGTCGTTTGGATGTAAACGTCAAAAGCACTTATCTGGACATGTAACCCTTTTAAGATTTTGGATCAGTTTTTTTGTTGGGTGACCTGATAATCTATTGTCATTCATTTAGAGGTCTATACAGTGCATGACCCATGTGCTGTACTTGATAACGAAAGGCAAAATTCACCTACACGTTATTTTTATAAAATAAAAGTCTGGTTTTAACCAGACACAGTATAATACAGCTTGGGACACCAGTCTCCATTTCCAGATGAAGACTGACGGGTTTCAGTTGTTTGAAAACGTATCACATACATGTATATTGAGTTAGTTGCTCGGCCCTAAGGTAAAGTATATTAAGGGCTTTTAACACAAAATTAAGCAGTCTTATTCTACAAAATATAATTGAGATTGGCCCTTTAATTTAATTTGTAGTCACATATGGAGAGGATGCAGGCTTTATCATCACCAAAAGAGAAATCTAGTAAACAAGAAATACGACAGTTACAAGAAGAAACAATGACAGTTAAATTACGTGAAGCTCAAACATTAGTTAGTCTTAAGGAAATGAAACAAAAAGTCATGGAACTAGAAACTCAGGTATATATATAGCATTTTTGTTTGAAATATGTAATATAGAAGGACATAATTACCCACTTGGAGTCTGTGAATGAAAGAGAAATAGTGTCTTTGTTGATTAGTGAAAAATAGTTTTTAATTTAACTATATCATTACATTTGGAAGTTATACATATTTTAAGTGGAGTTTAAATAATTTAGAAAAAAAAGATGTTAATGAAAAATACCTTGCTTACTTGAATTTTTAATCACTGTATTATGTTTGATATGATGTTGCATAAAATTAATTACTTTTGTTTTCTTTGTACAACACATCTTGTAGGATTTCAAACATATCGCATTACAGTACAGCACAAATCAGTGGTATCAAAGGGATGAAGTTTATTGTTAATTTTCAGAATCAAATTTGTACGAATCAAATGCGTCGGATGGGAGATGAAAATAAATCTATAAAAGAAGAAATGGAAACAATCAGTGAAAATGAAAAAGATTTAAAGAAAACAATCAAAGATTTACAGCGTAAAATAGATGATGGTGAAACACAGGTAGCTAAATGTACTTTTTGTATTTATATTTTCTATTTTCATATTTGCTTTTATATCTATATTGGTGCTATATAAATGTATAATAATAAGGCAACACAAATAAAATAAGTTGTTTCTGGGGCACCGCCCGCACGCAAAATTGGTTGCGCGTGCGGCCTATTGATTAGTCTTGATGAAAAATAAAAAATATGTAACGCCCGCCCGAACATCGATAAGCAAGTCATAAAAAAAATATGCCGCATGTATCTACATGCCCCATTCGTGAATATCCATTCAAATGTATTAAACTGATTCAGATGTAAACGCTCATTTCCGGGTCTTTTTTATTGATATCGAAAGAACCTCCATTTTTGTATCACGTGATTTTAATTACCTCCCCTTGTGAACTAGAATTTGATTCGTGTTAAACACCGAAAGTCATTGACAACAATGCAATGTATTTCAATCATTCGATCTTAATCGGCTCATTATTGCCGGCTTCAGTCGGTCCATGTTTGAAAAAATCCTACTTATAAAACAATGAATCGTAGAACAGGTTAATTATTATAACTTGTGGCTACGAATACGATACGATGATAGTCACCATACCTTAGTCAGAATCTGGGTCATTAGCACGTTTAACGGTAGTTTTGATAATCCGGAAAATAATAATTGGATTACACATTTGATGGTTTTACTGACGAGTTGTTAGTTAAATTTAAATAGTCATTCGATATAAACCCCAGATAGAACACCGAATATGCTGAGAAACACACCAAATATCCGGAGAAACAGTCATTTCACGAATCCCGATGACACGTGACATGCATTGGTTGGAATTAGGTCAATCATTATAAACCAGCGATACTAGATTTAGATCGAAGTGTCGTTTACCGTGATGATTATTTTTGATACACATGCTGACAGAGGCTTACTCTTTAAAATATTGTCGTTATTATGGACGGCTATTAATTAATAGTCGTACGGAATTTTATTTTAAACCAATTTCCATTATGGTTGTCACCATCACCATTAGTAAGCTACATTACGTGAATTAAATATGGAAAATTATTTTCCTTTCAGTCAGTGTTCAGTGTTTGAGTAGACTTGATTTTTGGATTTATGTTCTAAGTATGTATAATATATAACTAAAAGCAAAACCGTAGACACGTAATGACTTTCTCATTAAAAAAAAAAAAAAAATACAAGGCCGCCCTCCCGCCCCAACAATTTTCAACAATAGGCAAATTTTATTTTGCACCATCCTCTTGCCAGAAATGAGATAAAAAAAAAAAATGAACCGCCCTCCCCCCCCTACAGTTTCAGCTGTCAGTTGCCCGAGAAACAAGACATTTATTTTGTGTAGCCTAATAATAAATCATGAGTTATGATTAACAAAAACTTTATATGAGTTAGCAGCATTTGTTACAGTGTTGTGAAACCAAAAGTATCATAACTCAGCTCTAGTGTCCTTGCCACTTTAATTACAAAACACTGTTTTGATCTTGTGTTTTAATAGTGATCTTTAGATTTTCAATGGGATTCAACGGAATTTGAACAGTGTTTATGCACTTTTTCTGTTAATGCTGTATTCGAGAAAACTTTTTTTTATATATTAATCAATTTGGGATAATATTATGGAAGCTTACCATTCTTATATTAATTTTTAGCATGTAATATATTAAAGGGGAATTAGTTAAGGTTAGTTGAAGAGCTGACAGTTCTCGCTACTATTGTTAAAAAAGAGGTAATGAAAACAGAATATGTTGAAAATTTCAGTCAAATTGCTTCACTCTGAACCAAGATTTTAGAGATTTAGTTTTAGGCTAGCCTCGAGCGTCATTACTACCGTTGGTGCGATAATAAACTAAGTCTCGATTATCCATTTCTACAAATCATCCATCACAAAATGTATTCAAATCCACCAAATATCGCAGGCTAACGATGGCATCAAGAGTTGATTATGGTCATAGTAAGTAATTTTATTAACATTGAAGGCCTGATGATAGACCTGCAATAGGCAGATTTAGCTCTTGCATAATGCATGTTTAAGAAAGCTAACAATTGTAATATTTAAGCTTATAGAATATTAATATGTAATTTTATTAGAAACGAGAAGATTCAATGATGACAAGAATAACAGAGGCAGAAAAAGATCAGTTAATAGGCACATTAAAACAGACGATAGCCTCGTTAGAAATAGAAAAGGCTGAATTATTAACCACAGGTCAGTTACAAACAAAGGCGGGAGACCAGGACCTAACAAATAAAATATATGATCTTCAAGAGGAGGTAAGTAATCAGTTTTTAAAAGTTATAATGTATCAACTGTACTGATTGGTGGATTACCCATATAGCGCATTCTTTGTCACCTAATGGTTTCATGTTTCTGCATTGAGAGGGTTCATGTACAGAACATTCTATTGAGTAGCGCTACGGTTATTCTCTTTCTTATTATAGTTAAAGACTAGATTGTCTTGACATTTTATAATGCACAAGAAACCAGATCTTAGTCAAAGATAAGTACCATGTTAATATAAAAACAGTTATAATCATGTAATAATTTAATTAAACACATTCAAGTGGCTTTTACATGGCTCAACGAGTAAGACATTGGCTCGCTAACCTGGGAGGTGTCTGGTGTGATCCCTGCATTGGCACAGAAAGTTCATCAAGATTTTCCAGCGTGTTTCTTCCTTGCCAATGGTGCAGGACCGAGAGCCTGGAAAAGGACAATGTATAGTTCTTCAGATGGGACGAAAAACACACGGTGTGCATGCTAAAGATCCCTTGGCAGTTGGAATTTTATATAAGCGTAGGCTGTAGCGCCAATGTTCGACAAAATTTCCCTGTATGGCGTATGCCCGTCTTCATTAGCCCAGTCAGAGCAGAACAGAAGGATGTTAAACCCCATTTCATTTTCAAGTGGCTTTCAAGTAGTTTACAAGAAATGATAGCTGAATTATTATTATGTAAAGATGGTGTAAAATCAATAGCAATCAATGTAAAATTTACATGACCATAACTCAAGTTAGAATTGATTGATTTTTAATAAAAGTAGGTTTGTTTTTATATGGTGTTGGATTCTATTTATGACTGTTATTCTGGATTCTGGCATTTTGGGGCTTTAATAAGTATTTATTGTCTTTAAGGTCTTACAGTTAAAAATGCAGCTTTCCATGAAAAATAATCCCATGTTAAAAAGTTATATTGCTGGTAATTCTGATGATGAAATAGATGAAGAAATCAAGGAATCAAAACAACTTGATCAGACTTTATCGGACATTATTGAAGGAATTTCCCCTGTGAAAAAAGTTTTACAAAACGGTGACTTTTCGTTAGAGAATGGTAACTTTAGCGCAAGTGACGATTCTGCAAATAGTTCGAAATTATCGGACGGTGTTAATCAGTTACAAGATTCCTTACTAGACAATTCTTCATCATCAACAACAAAAGTAGCCAATGAAAATCAAGGTGAGGTAATCGTGCCAGATTTGGATGAGGATGATTATTTATTAAAAGAAAGTACCGTCTGACGTCGGTTTTCTTTCTTCCAGTCAGTTTATAGCGTATATCAGTGTTCAAACGGTGCTTATTTATAACAGATGTTATTTAATTAATATATATGTTTTGTGTTTTTAACTTCCCTGACACTCCTACATACCAACAGGGTTTTATACAGAAGAGACTCTAGATTTTTATGTACAGAAGAAACTCTAGATCTTTATGCATATCATATTACTCAATCTTGACAGGATGTGATGCTATATACATGTAAACATGTATGTTCAACATGCCTGTATTCAATCTTGACAGGATGTGATGCTATATACATGTATGTTCAACATGCCTGTATTCAATCCAACATCCAGTTATCTCATCCCTTTTTTGGTCTCATAAACAGTTTCGCTGTTAGTCACACAGAGTCGACAATTGATTAATTTCATGCACATAATTTATGGTAGAGTGTGCTTCATATGTATTATCACCATTAATATAATAATAGCAAGTTTAGAGATTAACTGCCATATTTTTAATACCATATTTTCCTCGGATAATTAATTATTTACTAACACATATAATATAAATTTACCCAAAATCCTGCTCAATAAAACACTCCTCTACAAAAACCTGACACTTCTTCTGTTCTAACAATCCTAGGCATAATCTGAACAAATATCTCTTGTTTGTAACTATCATCCAATCAGATATGATGTCTCACGTGTTTAAATAGCATCGGTTCCCAGTCCAATCATATATGTGGTAGAGTTATTGTTGGAAACACAACAGTTTTAATATCTGACATTTTAAAATCGCATCCCTTTAATGTATTTCTTTCTGCAATTATTTCTGCACATTTGTGTCCATTTAACAAAAAAACTATTAATTGTTCAGATTAACTGCAGCTTAACTGGAACAATACTGCAGCATTGCCTCTTTATTTTGTTATTTCTGTAGATTTCTCGACAAAAGAGAATGCATTTGAATTCTCGAACATTGGCATGGCCCCCAGCCCGCCATCTGGCATCCACAATTGCTTGTGGACGCTCTAGAGGCTAAAGTTAATATCCGATTGACTTTAAATTTATACACACTGTTGAAGGTCATTAGACGAAGAAGGCTATTGATTTTCAATAATTACTGCCAGAGTTATGGCCCCTGATCAATTTGAAAAATCTTGTGGAGTCTTTAGATGCTAAAGTTAATATCCGATTGACTTTAAATTCGGACTTTAGATTGATTCACAGAGTTTAAGGTCTTAAGATGACCAAGTATATTGATTTTTAATGATTTTTGATAACTTGAACAGCTAAATCCACTCCATGATATTTAAATGTTTTGTATTATACTAAACGTTAGCATGGGCAAACAAATTTCAATGATTTTCTGATAATTACTTAATGAGTTGTTAATCTTAATCAGATTTTAGTATAAGCTTATAAATGTTCCATTACTGACAAAAATAAAAATATGCGACAACTCTTGTTGACTGCCCAGATGATTTAGCTGCTGTGGGTGTATGTTTCGTTGCCTGGCAACCTATCTTTTTTTCTAACTGCATTTTTCTCATTTCTTGTTTTGTATTTGACTGCATCTTGTTTTATTTTTCCAGGCTCGTGATTTTAATGCTGCATGTTGCATGTCAAGTTTCTACCAAAAATGCTAGCCTCTACTTTCGTTTTAAAACTGATTCTTTAACAACATGTGCCAAAGGTATCCAATCAGTTACAGTGTTGTATGATTACCATCAGTTTGAATGAACTAATCATGTTGCTCGATGCAGACAAACTTGACTTCTGATATTATAAATATATATATATATTGTTTTAAAAGTGTTGTGTACAAAATTGCTTTTTTAATTATTATTTATTTGTTGTTCTTTTTGGTGCATTATTCTGAGAATATTAAGATATGATAATCAAGTATTTATATAAGATCAACAAGTGCTGATTTATTAGACGATACAATGTTTATTTTGCTTGCCACAGAATGTTTTATTGAATTTAACATTAATATGTATGTACATGTATTGTTCAAGTTTGTGAGTCTTTTTTTAATTCAACATTTTTCATTAAAAATAAACATGCTAAGAGGGTGTAATAAAAGAAAAACAGAAATTAACACATAAGTAGAAGACACTTCATGTTCTGGACAGATGACTAATTTTTGGAGACAATTAGGTAAGCTATAGCCTGACTTAACTCCCTTGGATAGGGATTAAGCGATACTTTCTCAATGACTTCTGGTTGGCATTGATATAGGTATCTAAAGGGGTAAACTGGACATATCTCTCTCTGAGAGCTGTCTTACGCAGTTTATCTTCTCAAAACAAATGTAACTCACTGAAATGAGAGATGGTTTGTTGTAATAGTGTACAACACAATTACTATATTAATATTCAGCTTAAATTTTGTTCTGGTTTTTGGTCAATTACTTAAAATATACCAATCTCAGTTGAGCTAAAGTCATAATTTCATAAAGTCTTTAAAGTAAAGCAATGAATGATAAATAGATAATGATCAAAGGTCAGTTATTTCACATGTAAACTAAAACAGAAATTCAAAAAGGTTAACCACTTAACTTAAATACATGGGTCACAATTCTATGAAATACAATTACTGCTTATTACTGAGCGACATTTCAACTAGGCTTCTCTAGTCTTCATCAAGCAATGATGATATATAAAATATGATGGGACATGATATACATATAAAAACAGCAATACCAACATCTTGAGTGATGCCAGGTGACCATTATAAATTATATAGAATTATTATGTCCTGTGTCTTTCTTGTTCAATTACTGTAATGAAATGAAATGGGGTTTAACGTCCTAATGTTCTGCTCTGACTGGGATAATGAAGACGGGCCTATGCCATGCAGTGGCTATGAGGGAAATTTTGCCCGGACAGCGTCGCTATGGCTACTATTTTCAAATTCAAACTGTCAAGGGTTCTTTTACATGAATACAGAACTTCAGTTTTTGTCCAATATGAATAACTATACATTGTCCCTTGCCAGGCCCTCTGTCCTGCATCACTGATAAGGATGAGCTTTCTCAGCCAACACTGGGATTGAACACAGGACCTCCAGGTTAACGAGCTAACAGCTTACTCACGGAGCCACTGCTGCTCCAGTTCAATTACAAAATACCATTGAAACAATATAACTTTTATCAAGTTGATTCACTCACTGCTTTAGATTGTATGATGAACCTTATTTGTGATTTATGCAATATATAGGCCACACTAATTTGAATTTCTGTTCTTTGGGAACATCTATTAAAATTCTGCCTTTTACTTCCTTAGGAAAAAGCCAATTTAAAAACAAAAAGTACTTAGTTGATGTTCTCAAAAGCTTGAAAACGGCGAGAGAATATTTTTTGAAATGTCGTCTAAATGAATCAGTAATTATTCTTCCATAAGTATGTGTTATAGTTTATTTCTCAAAAGCTGTTTCAGATATTTTAAGTTTTGAAATTTTAACAAAACCTCACATTTGAGTAGGATATTTAATGATCAAGACCTTAAAGAACTAATAATTGTATTTCTTTCACCCTTAAATGCATTCATTGTATATTATAATTGGTGATGTTAATCAGAGTATCCAATTATAATCTGTTAGTACTTTTTATGTAGTTATTATTACTCTATAGGTCACAGATTCTATATTAAGTTTTAATACTCAAATTGGATATTTATCAGGGACATATTAAACTAAGTCTTTGATATATTATGTTTATATGTGTATTGTGTCATGTAGATACATCAGAATTTCTAAATGCACAAACTAACCAAGTCTCTATCATTATTGTAAACAGAGTTGTCACATGTAATCCAACGTTGGTGTTTTAAGTAACCTGAAAAACAAAATTGGGAAATTTTGTATTTTTGTATTGTTCTTTAATATCTCAAATTTTCAAATAATTTTAATCATAATTGAGTCCAGGTATGTCAGCATGGCTCCAAACAGTGCGAACTGGTACTAGCCAGTCCCCCATATATAATGATATAACAGTCTGGCTGGAACCTGACATTTAGTCTAGGTACACTGTTCAGATATTTTAACTATATGATCTGATATTTTCTCTTCAACAATTAAGATATATGAAGTTGATAAAGGTTTTGATGGGAACGAAAGAGTAATTGTGTAATTGGCTAGACCAGAGATGGGGTCGTGTCTCTGATTAACACCTTAAATATTTTGATGTTTTGTGTAGTTTCTCTGCGCACAAGTAAATTATTACCTGTAAATTGTGTCAGGTTAGTCTCTGAATGACCTATCTTGTGTTGAGTGGACAATGAACCCCATACTATACCCTGCCACCCTTTTACTGGTTGGGCTACTGTTAAAAACTCAATGGATTGTTATTTATATTTATCTGTATTTAAAGTGGGTGTAGCCCCAAAGTTTTTCTTAGTTTTTTAATTGTGCAATAAATTAATCAACACTGAATGTAATGTGAACTTAAATTTCCAGCTTATCTCTGGAAATGAAAAACAATATATCTTAATAGCTAATTACATGTCAGTATATAATCATTTTTTTGTTTGCAAAGGGAAAATATCTAGCATAAAAATAAAACCACCGTTATAGTTTGAGATTTACTTTCTAGGGGCTACTCCTAATCTTAAACATCAGATATATGTTGATTAAATTCACATTGTCTTCCATATAAACTATACAATGATAAAACAACTGTGTTATAAAGAGGTAAATAATTTCCCTATAGAATGGGAAATCAGATAATTTTATTTTACTTAAAAAGATTAATTACTGATTAATAAACAAGTGGAATTGGTTGCAAGTCTACAGGAAAATTTAAAATAAAATGATAAATTGACTATGTTATACCAGACCCCCAGGTTCCTAGAAAAATGTTACCATTTTCAAGATTATGTCAACTTTAGATAGGCACAAAATGAACTAAAGATTTTTCAAGGATCCAGGTCCTGGTCTTTTCTTTAGCAAAAATAATCACTGTTTCTCCACACAACTTGAGTGTAGATGTATATTGTGATAGCATACCTTTAATCTGTTTTTGTATTATATATATAACATTACACTATAAACTGGACTATGAATATCATTCTCAAAGTTTATCATTACTCACTGTGATAAAATGTCTCACCTCTTTTATGTTTATTTAAATTAATGGTCTGTTTTATTGTGACTGTCTAAAAACAAAATCTAAATCTTACTTATGGCCATAATATGGTTCTGATGGAAATGGAAATTGAATGTAGTTTCCGGAACACTTAAAAATCTGTTAAGCCTAGCTTATGTCGCCCTACGATGCGATAACTGACAGCTTATGTCACTGCGACTGAATTTATCCAGGACTGGACGCAACCACGAGCAACCAGTTGATCATAGTTGTAAGCACACTAATGTCGCCCGGTGTCAGTTGAAGATCGGAGCCATAACTGATCACATGACTGACATGTGATAACCTTCAAAATGACCTCATACCACTTGTCCCCGCCCCCTGGGTACCACGTGACTAAATAACCGAATCTTATTGGCTACATCAGCAAGTCACCGACTCAAGCCAGTTGTAGGTGCGCTCATGTCGCTTGCGACTAGGGACAACTAGTTGTCTCCAGTCGTAAGAGTAGAAAATGTGCGATTCAGAAAAACTGGAGATGACGACTGGTTGCCATCCGTCTTACACCAGTCGTAACAGTGCTCAGGTCACGACTGATCAGTTCCATTTGATCGTAAACCAGTCCCCGATTTCGAGTCGCCGTCAGTTTTATTGCGTCTTTGGGCGACATATGCTAGGCTTTACTCTAAGAAATTTTGAGACTGTTTTATGAATAGGCCTTTATTTATATATTAGATATAAGGATATAGCACGTCATGTAATAAAAGAATTATTATTACAAAACTAACATTCACAATTTGTATCATTCACATAATTTTTTTCTTCACATTTTGACCATGATAATGATTTTTATATTGGTCATTTCTGCTACCTGTCTGGACATGACCAATAAAAATCAGTATACTTTAATCACTGTTCATACCATGTAATTCATTTATATTAAAGGAAGTATCTTTTAGTGGACAAACAGGTGCCATTGATACAAGTCTATTTATATGCAAGCTCAGTTCTATAAACAGTACACTTGAATGACACTATAGCGTGATTGGCCATACAGCTTTGAAGGTGTCGTAAATTGATTGACAGATTTATCACAATTTTTACATACAATATAACGTAGTCAAGCCGCATAAAGTAGAAAATAATTGTTTTACTACTGATGAAAAGTAGTAATGTCTGTTTAAAAGAAAGTTACAGCTCAATTGTAAATCACTACATAATCACTATTATTAAGGTTTCCAATGTTCTAAAAATATTCATATAAATTAATGTATTTTGTATGTAAGTTATGAATATGTACTTAATTGTTTTAAATTAAATTGTAAATAATTATTACTATAAAGAGAAATATAATTAATTATAAACTGCTTTTGTTTTGTATTAAAGGATATGGTCTACATTTTTTTATATTCTAACAATAGATACCTGTAGATAATCAACTGTGAAAACTTTTCAGGATAGCTCCATTCAAACACCATGCTAAATTAAAGACTGTGTTTCTGAAATCAGTTGCTGAACCAGAACTAGCAATTGATATTTGGAATGGGTAGATTCACAACTAACAGATAATTTAGATATACCAGACATTTTTATTAAAATTAGATTTCATTTTATTCCTCTAATGTTGTTCTACTTTACTGAAGATCTAACTACTTTACCACGTACATAAATTGTTGCCAAAGGAAAATCATCTTTTCTTTGGCTGCATGTGTGGTAGACCTGGTACAAGCATCTTAAAAGATGGTTTTAGACTTTACTTTAATGTAAATATAAACAACATGAACTAGAAATTAAAAAAAAATGAAAATATGATCTAATTTTACATGGAATGCAAACAAATTTTGCCGATTTACTACAAACTTGGCATTTTTTAGTTTTTTAGTATTAATGATGTCTCCTCAACATTCTTTAATTAAGGGTTGCAGTTACCGGTAACATGAAGCTACCTGAATTTTTCTAAAAGTTGATCAGAAAAGATGTCCAAGTAATATCATGTTTATGCCTCTTAGTTAGAATATAGAAATAGATGGACTACCTCCTTTAATTTTGTGAGATGTTGTACAACAAACACTCTTGAGAGATGATTTTTAAAAAATAAAATTGATAAGATTGAGATACCTGTTTTTAAACGAATCAAATTTTGTGATATTCTTTGATAAAATTGTCAGCTGTAATGATTAAAAAGATTGTATAGTACAATGTGTGAAGATATTTTTTCTAGTGGTGCAATGAAAGTTTTTTGTAATTTTTGTTACACAAGAAACAGCTATATTATATAGGTACATGTGTCATGAAATAAAGTAGGAATATATAAATAAAATGGTTTTGTTGAGTTTATTTATGGGGAAGTAATAACTCGTCTGATATAGGTGATAAAGGATAATAATACAAACTGAATTGAAATGGGGTTTAACATCCTATTTTTTTTTTTAGCACAAACAAGATAAAGTGACATTTCGAGACAGTTAAAAATGTCATAAAATCATTGAAAGGCATTGGATCTTTGATGGTCATATCTAGTTAGGTTTGGTTCATTTTAATAACAATCGAACCAGTATAATTTTGATAAGACTACTTTTAATGTGGATGCAAAGTCTATATTTGTCTTGAGTCTGGAATATTGTGCCTTTAGGGAAATCAAATTTTCACAAACATGCAAATCATCTGCTATAGTAAGTGGATTGATATTTACAAGTTGATATACAGAAATGTCTCTGGGATTGATGTAGTCTGACAGTACGGTTCTTGGGCTTCATCTGTTGTAACACAGGCGAAATTTACAAACAACTAATTTCAACCCTTGTTCAAAAACATTTTAATAAACTGTTCGCTAATCTTGGAAACTCGTCAGAAATAATGCTTTATGATACACAAAACTAAACAAATAGGGGGCTCCCGAGAATATATCGTTAGTGCCATCCGGTGCTAAAGTTCATAAAGTGTGAATGATTCATTTATGGTCATTTGTACTTCTACTAGTGGCACCATTTTTGCCATTACTAGAATTAGCCAATAATCATATTATTTCTACCCTTGTTTCATCCGAGGTGAAAATGTATTGCAATCGGTTGTGGTCTATTCCTGTTTAATATCTGCAATAAAGTGTTCTTTAATTCGGTTTGAAAGGTCACGTTTTCTTTCTCCTACGTACGTAATGTTTCTGACAAAGGGAGCAAGTACTAAAGCAATTAAAACCATTACAGCAAAAACAGTTTTACCACTAATAAAATTGGGTTTTCGGTCTCAGATATCACAGTCATGTTTGACACATTTTTTATATTGAAGGACCGTCATTTCACAGTTTAATGATGCCTCGGCATGTTAATTAGTCTCGATCATATTAACGTATCTTTTATCGTAGGATTCCTTCAAAATGCCGTGATTTGTTGATTTTAAACTAGACCTTTTCTCGTAACAGGTTTGATAGTTTTTATACAACCCAATCATACACTTATATATATTCAACATCTAGTAGATTAATATGATTTGTTGTCCTGTTTTTTTTAAAAAGAAACTTAAGGAAAAAAAAAGGATTATTAAAATCTGCCAAAAAGTTTCTATCTTATACAGGAAAAACATTTCAACAAGCAAAATTTCCTGGGTTTTTTAAAACAAATTGCACATAACCTATGTTTACAGCCCGGTTGTTGTAAAACTTTCACAATAAGCATCAAATGGCTTAGTTAATCGTTTACCATCACCATTTTAGCCGATTTCAAAGTTTGACTTTTTTTTTAATATAAGCGGTTGTCATGCAAAATATGCCCACATTTTTCAAGAGATGGACAGAGAACAAGCCCAAAAAAGGAAACGATTCAGGGGGCATAATCCAGGAAGTTACGGTCCGATATGCGTGAATCTACAGGAACCTAGATCTTCGGGATATAAAGGTATTTTAAGTTTCATCATCAAAATCAGATACAAATTGTGACCTCTAGAGGGCCCACAACCCTGGTATTACATACTTTTACACTATTTGCATACAAGGAGCGAGCGGCCATTCTGTCGGGCAGTTTCGATCAGATTTTTACGAAACTCAAACTCAACCATCATTATGCATTATGGTGTAACGGTGATATATTTCAACGGTTTTTAAAATCTGATAGAAATTGACGGTCTATTCGTATTTCGAATTAAAACTGCCAAGGGTTCCTTTTGTTGCAAGGCAATGTGTACACGGGACCGCAATTTTTGTCCCGTCTGAACGACTGAACATTGTACCTTGCCGGGCCCTCCAATCTGCAGCAGGGACACGAGGAAACCATAAGGAACCAGGAGTGGATTGGGGTCGGCAACCGGCCCGGGCTCCCGTGTCTGAGTGGCCCCTTTTACTGACCGCGGAAATTTTGTAAAATGAACCCCATATTTGCGATTTGGTGGCATATCTGATTATAATCTCTGTCAAATAATATATCTCATAAATCGATTAATTTAGGCCAAAACCCCGACCTGCAAGTAATTTACAACCATCAACCTGTGAAATTATCATATCGTCATATTAATTAACGTATTATCATTGTATCGTCAAGAGTCAAGAGAATTTAACTGGTTAAAAAATGGGACTAGTTGAGAAAATTTTGACCATTTGATTAACAAGTTACTATGAATCCGATGAAATTTTCGGATGAAATTCGGAATCCCCATTGCAGGATTCCGAATTCCGTCCCACACCCAGCACACCCGGCCCAGAAAGTCTATTATACCAGCCCATTCCAGACTCCAGCGATGGCGTGGCGGCCCGTTAAAGCCACCGGCCACATACAACATGATCATCATCGCTCCATGGCCGGTCCAATACCCCCCCCCCCCCATAAAATGTTCAGCAGAAAAAGGTTTTTTAGACGAATTGAACAAAATTATTTTTTTCATTTTATGTCCGACCGGCCCTTCGGCGATCGCCCGATGGCCCAATCCGCCCCTGTAAGGAACTGTCTAGGGCAATACCGGTAGCGAACCCTCTGGTTAGCGACGCGGCGCCTTACTCTCTAAGCCACCACGGCTCTTTTGAAAAAATAAAAGTAAGGCTCAAATCTTCTTAATAGTCTGGAGGCTCAGTGCGGAGGGGTGTCGATAAAATGGGCACAAAACCAGACCCAACTTTTCTATAGTAAAATTCGCGTAGAATACGATGCCGAGTGGTAATCGGTCCGCCATTGGGACGTTTTCGAGATATTCGGGGTCAAAGGTCAAATGAGTTCATTTGCACCGAAAGTGAATGCGCAGCCATGCTTGTATCCTGAAAATAAGATGAAAATGCACGATCTTTTTCGACGTTCCAAAGTAAATATTACGATGCTAAGACCACCTACAGATAAGTTTTAAATGTTCCTACTATAAATTAGAACAGGTTTCGCCAGACATTTTATTGCTTTAAATCATCCTAGTGCAAAAACGGAAAATTTCACCCTTTGACCTCCGGGGTCACTAAGACTAAAGGTGAGTTTAACAAGTTTACATTTTTATTGAAATAGTGATTACTTTCGATCATTTTCAGCATATTTTCATGATGCACTTTCAGTGCAAATGACCCCATTTGACATTCCTGCGCACAGAGCCTCCGATCTATAAAGACACCTACAAATCTTATAAGTATGATACAATCGTTTTACTTTAATCGTTTACTTCAATGGTATTCATTGAAGACGTCATGTGGACAAAATTCATGTTATATAAATTCGATGTCACACAATTACACACTCAAATGACTCATTTTCACTGTAGAAGCCAAAAAACACATATTTTGGTAAACATTTAAATAAAACATAACAAATATTAAAGGCGCTGTGCTGTAATCTATCAGATTAAAGATACATTATGTAAGATTTAGATAAAGAGCTAGCCATTTTTGCTATAATAGTTCGAAAATAGATAATGTAAAATGAATAATTTGAACATTTCATTCAGATTACTCTATTGCGAGCGAAGACTTTAGCCTTTGAAGGTTTGACAAGACAGACGTGTGCAATAATTTCAACCACCGTACTGGTTGTTCGAACGTAATTCTCGCTCCTCCATTTTTAAATTAAATCAAAATATGGCTGAACCGTTCTAATCTATTTAATATCGGAGAAATCCGATGCCATCGAGAGTTGATTATGGCCTGGATCAGTTAATGTTATTCATTCACCTTTTGATCCTATTCTTCGAAGATGAAAATATCAAATCTTAAGATTTTGTTTACGTGAGAGTTAAAACTGAGGTTTGAATCTAAGAACACGCCAAGATTTTTCACAACATTTGATATCGGAATATCTGAATTTCCCATTTTGAGATATTTCACAATGCAAGTATTAAGTCTGTGATCAGGTCCAATAAGGAGAAGCTCGTTTTTGTCGTCGTTAAACTTTAACATATTGGCGGCACCCAGTTCTTAATACCGTTTATGCAACTTTCCAAATTACCAATTGTGGAGAGCTGGCGGAGAGTGTTGAGGTTAAATTTATCTATTAGTGGGTGTCATCAGCATAAAAATGGTGCTGAATATTATAACTATCGATGAGGTTTCCAAGGGATTTTGTATACAGTTTAAATTAGAGGGGCCCCCACACTGAACCTTGAGGTGCCCCACGGGATAGTTGCACTTGCTTTGACAAAGAGGTTTTTTTTTATGTCAACATACTGATATCTACTGGTTAATTATGAGCCGAACCACTGTAGAGATCCAACTCTTTTGTAGTCAGTCTTCAGTCGGTCAAGTAGGTTGTTATGATCTATTGTGTCGAAAGCAGCCGACCGACAAATCAAAATGACGGATAATTTTAAAGCGTGGATGACGCAAACCAAAGCTATTTCAGTGCTATGTGTGGGGTGATAGATTGACTGAAACTCATCAAAGAGCCCGGACTGTTGTAGGTAGTCAATTAGTTGCTGCTCGACAACCTTTTCTAGAATCTTTGAGAGGAATGTTAGATTAGGTAACGGGCGGTATTTTTTCAACAGTTGTTGGTTAAGCGTGGACTTCTTGATTAAAGGCTTTATGACTGCCGTTTTGAAGCTAAGTGGTACCGTTCCCGATTGAAGACTTTTATTGACGATGTTAGTCAGAACTGGTAAAATAGTATCCCGGATTCTCAACAGGAACTGCATGCGTATGGAATCTAATGAGCAGGATGTAGGTTTGGACTGAAGGGTTATCTTCTTAAGCTGCTCTGGCTGACCAGATTGGAAACCATTGAACTCTGTTGAAACTATGGGTCGTTCAGTACGATAATAGATATTTTGTCTATGAAATAATCGCTGAACTCTTGGGCCACAGTACCATCTTCTCCACCAGGAAGAATCACCTTGTTTTCTGTACCCAGAAGATTATTTAGGGTTGAG